TTTGGATGTCAGGCATTTTGTCTCAACAACTAGAGAAAAAGTAACCAAAACAGCGCCCTTTGAGCGCATTTACAGCAGCACTGAGCTTATAAGGATCAACCGATTCGCTTCCAGAGCTGCCCACATCAGACTTCAAGTTTACGTGCTCAAAGTTTGGGGAGCTGGAAGTCCCAGAGCAAGGTGCCCGCAGGCTGTGCTGACTCTGAGGGCCACAGGAGAGGGTGCGTCCTCTCCACCGAGCTCCCGGGGATGGCCAGCACCCCTCGGCGTCCCCCCATTCCCTGCCACCCCTCTCTGTGTCGTCACATAGCTTCATCTCTCTGCGTCCGCTTTTCCTTTCTAAGGCGCTGTGTGCTGTGTCCTGAGGGCAGTGAGCAGGGTCACTGTGTGATCTGTCAGCGCTGCAGGCCTGAGTTCCAACACTGCGTTGTTTTGACAGCATAAGGGTGTCTTCCCACGGTTCTCGGAATAGGAGGCAAGGGCCAGATCAAGGTGACTGCAAGGGTGTCCTCCCGAGGCTGCAAGATGGTTCTTCTCCTGTGCCCTCCCCCAGTTATCCCTGCATGTCGTTCCATTTTGGTTTGTTTTTTGGTACTGGGGGTTGAACCCAGAGCCTCTGTCCCAAGCTACTAATGACCCCAGCTCTTTTTATTTCTCTCTGAGGCAGGGTCTCGCCAATTTGCTACCTTGCAGTCCTTTTGCCTCAGCCTCCCAAAGCGGTGGGATTATAGGCCTGCACCACCATGCCAGGCCCTGATCAATTCTCCTTAAAAAGACACAGGCAGACTGGTTAGGGCCCACCTGTCTGACCTGTCACCTTATCACCTCCTGAGAGGTCTGTTGTCTGCAAATATGGCCACATTCTGAGGCAGTGGGCATTAGGACTTCAACATTAGAACTTGGTAAAGCTCAATTCTGCTCATAACAATCACCCTTCCCTGCCAAGGTGGCAAGAGTTCAAATTCACCCATTCCATCAGAGTTTCTCTGTTCCTCTTCTCATGAGACTCCTTCTGCCAGAAAGCAGAGGGACTTTAATCTGGTATTAATATGCCTTCTGCCCCTCTGGTTGAATGAATCTCCTTTGGTTGAAACAAGCCCCATCCAGTAAACATTTAGCCAGAGTCAAGCCCCATCCTGCTGGGTGTTTTGTTTTGTTTTGTTTTGTTTTGTTTTTGGTACCAGGGATCGAACTCATGACCTCGTGCTTGCCAAGCAAGCATTTATGCTGCTGAGCTAAATCCCTGGACCCCTTCCTACTGTCTTCTCTTGCTCACCACCATGACCAAGATGGCAGCAGGTGCAAGGGAGAGTTAGCAGTCCCTGCTGGTCTCTTCCTCAGGCCACCCATGGGTGTGCTGGCAGGTGTCCCCTCAGATCCTGTGGTCTGAGTCTGCCTTTTGGGCATCCAGCTGGTGTCTTTGCTGAAGACTAGGGACCGAGGTAGGGCTGCCACATGTGTGACCCTTGCAATGTCCGATGGGATTCCCACTCCATCCCTGGTCATAGTAGAGGTCCTGCAGCCTCTGGCTTCCAGCTGGACTCCAGGCTGTATGTTTATATCTGCTCCTCTGGGGCCCCTCTGTGCCATTTTGGGATTGAAAGCAGCCCTAGAGACCCTAACTTCCACTCATCCCTCCTCTCCCTTGTACTATGGTGCTCACAGAACCCCAAGCTGCACCCTCACCTGAAGCCGTCTGCTCTGACGGTTCCAGACAGGGCCAGAAGGAAAGCTGTCCCTCCAGATGGAGACTGAGGGGAGCCTTGGGCCAGTGCACTTGGCCACAGGACTCCTTTTCCTCAGCCGCTTCTCATGCTGGGACGGAGGAATTCAGCTCCCCTGATTCTTGAGGCAGAGACCTGAATGCTGCTGTATCCTAAATTTTCTGAATTATAAGAACCTCACAGGTCAAATCTCCAGGTCTGGATCTTTTACAGGGTAAAAGGAGCGAAAGGAATTTTGAAAATTACCTCCTGCCCACGCCTGGCTTACAGGGACACTGTCTTACTGAGAACGTAAAAAGCGACCTGGAGATCAGAAACTGGAAGCACAGGCCTTCCTTCTTGCCGTCTCTCCTCCCATTTCTCCTCCCAGGAGAGCCCCGAGACCCTTGGCTAAGCCAAGGCGGTCTCCCTTCCTCCCACAGCCCTGCAGGGCCTCATTCTGCTCTTCGGAGAACAAGCCAGCAAACAGAGCGTGCTCTGCAGTGTTTTCTGTCCTGGGCCTGGGACACAGCTTCTAACCTGAAGGCCAAGGATTGGCCCGAGTTCTTGGCTGTCTGAGTTCTCAGCTAGAAGTGAAGACCCCACGTGCTTCTTCAGCCAGGAACTTTACTCTCCTGCTGTCCTGGAGACTGGAAGTCCCAAATCGACCCCTTCCCACCTCTTCCCACCTCTGGTGGCTCTAGCACTCCTTCTAGCTGTGTCACCCCTCTCTAGCACTACCTTACACGGCTGGCCTCGCAGTGCATCCTGTCCTCTTCTGAGAGAACCATGTCCTAGCACTTGGGAGGCTGAGGCAGGAGGCTCGCTGCGAGCTCAAGGCAGCCTGAGCTACAAAGTGAGTTCAAGGCCAGCCTGAACTGCTTAGCTAGACTCTGTCTCAAAAAAGATCAAATAAATAAATAAAGGGCACGAGCCACTGGAGTCAGCCATCCTAACCCAGGAGGACCTCATCATATCCCAGTCACGTCCACAAAATGGTTTCCAAAATGAGACTGCCCTCTGAAGTTCTGGGGTGGACGTGAGCTCTGGGGGCTACGCTTCAGCCCACCCCACTGTCATCATGATTCCTCCGTAACGCCCCAGGAAGCTGTTCTTCCCAGGCACTGTGGGTGCCCAGGAAAAGAGGGGCCCAGTTCATCCCCACCTGGCTTCCCAAAACAGACTGCACTCCTTTCGGAGCTACAGTGTTTTCACGTCAGCCATGCCCATGCCCCGCAGGAGCCACCAGCCAGGCCTCCCACAGCGCCCTCGTGTTGAAACAGCGTGGGCCGTTTGCTTGTTTGGTTATCACCCTTCTGTTCCAGAAAGGGTTTCAGGCAGCTGGTTTTTATTACTCCGCTGCAGGAACACAGACTTCTGAGCAAACACACAGTTCCCCGAGGCCAAGCCGTAAGGGCTCAAAGCCCTCAGCAGCGACAGTGACCGAGCTGAGCTCAGCGTGGCATTCCCTGCCTGCTTCCCCTGACTCAGCCAAAGCCCTCGCCCCCCTGCCCCTTTAGAGATCAGGGTGCTGCCCACCAGGAAGGGGTCCCGGTAGGCACAGGAGCTAAAGGCAGGGATTGGTGCCTGGTTGCAGAACACAAACCTCAGCAAGTCCTTGTCAGGGTGTCGGCCTTCATTCATTCATTCCCATGCATCTGAGCCCATCTGGGTCTCCCACCCCCATAGCCCATCACCCTGTGGTCTGTGCCCATGGGGATGTTTCGGAGCTGCTCCGAGTCAGACCTCCGAACAGGCATCCAGACTCCTGACCCCATGCTCGGTGCCTGGAGACAAAGCTGTACCTTGAACCAGTGGCTCCAGGCCCAGCTTCTGATGACCGCCTGCAAGGAGCACAGGAGATGCCAGGCGCTGATAGCAGCCTCCTCATGGTGGTGCTGTGGGCATCCTCTGACCACTCCCTGGGTGAGAGCAGCTAGGAAATTACAAGGTCGGGGCACCCAGGAGTGACACTGGCGCCAGAGAGTTGTGCCAGCGAAGGTAGCAATCAGGTGATGTCTGGGCCTGGCTCCCTCTTGGTCCAGGGTAGCAGGGGTATGATGCCACACGTCTTCCCCACCACCCTGGCCTTGCTATGGGGTTATAGCCACCTTTCCTATGAGCCCTGCAGGCCTGGGGCACCAGCCCCCAGCTCCAGAGTCCCTGAGAAGAGGGGTTTGTGGCAGAGGTTCAGCGCTTCATGGTCTTTGGTCCTGACCGTCCCCTGTCCCCACAGACAGGCCGGGTTCTGGATCAGCCATTTGGTCCTCAGCACAAAGCTAACTAGAGAGAGGAGGAAAGCACTGTCCTATGAAGCTCTGAGAGCCTTCATTCCAGAAAAGCTGCTGGTTTATAAGCTGCTGAGCAGCCGCAGGGCCAGATTTGGGGGGCTGACCCCACTCAGAGTGGCCAAAGCCAACCCAGCGCATGTCCCTCAGCCCATCAAAGGCCCATGTGTCCAGGTCTTGCCTAGGGCGGCACTGCTGGGTGGGTGCAGAGTTTAGGTGGCAGGGCCTGGGAGGACATGTGAGGCCCGAGGAGGTATGCCACAGAAGGAGACTGCAGGACTCTGGTCTCTTCTCTTCCTTTCCTGTCCCCACTGCAAGTTGAACAGTTTTGCTCCCCACATTCTGCCCACTGTGAAGTCCGGCCTCACCATAGGCGCAAAACAGCAAGGCTAAGTGACTGTGATGGAAACCTCTAAAATCGTGAGCTAGTATAAACCTTCCCTCTTTTTGAGCTGATTGTTTTAGGTGTTTTGTTACAGTAATTGAAAGCCAATGAATGCAAATACACCTGAACATTTACCATCTAGTGGGCCATTCTGTGCATCCAGTCACTCACATCGTTGGGCAGCCATCACTATTATTCATTGGCATAAACTCCACATGATTAAATAGTAACCCCTCCACTCCCCCATCCCTCCTATCCCTGCTAACCCCCATTCCATATCCTATCTTGATGAATGTATCCTCAGTATTTCATATAACTGGGATCATAAAGTAGCTCTCTTTTTAATGGTTTATTTCACTTACCACAGTGTCCTCAGATTACATCCATTTGTATCGTGGGTCAGAATTCCCTTCCTCTTTATGTCTGAGTAATATTCCATAGTGTGTGTACACCAGATTTCACTGATCCACTCACCCATCTGTGGAAACTTGGCACATTTCCATTTTTTATTCCTCTGAACATGATTGTGAATCATTTCATGATTGTGAACAATACTAATAGGAAGATAAGTGCAAAATCTGTGAGTCCCCACTTTGAATTCTTTGGATTTCTTTATATTTTAAGGCACAGGTTTTTGGAGGTCACTTTCCATGAGGGGATCCCTAGTTGGGAAGCTGCTGTACCTCTTCCAGAAGTTTCCATCTTCCAGGGTCTGGAAGAGCAATCAGCCAACACAGGACCACGCCGCTCATTGTCAACTAAATCCTGGGCACCAGGGAGGTAGAAATGACATTACATTGGAAACTTGCCATGTCCTGCCCCTGATCAGCTTCCACCCACACACTTCACTTCTGCAGAGCCAAAGAAGGCTCAGCCCAAATTAAGAGGAACCCTGCCTCTGCGGACAAAGCACAAACAGGAGCGGGTTTATCCCCTGCACCTCCACATTCCCACTTTAATCATTTGCCGGTAACTAACTTGTCTCCATTTGGAAAGCTCCTAAGAAAAATTCTACCTGACACTACGTAGACCGTAAGGCCTAGTTACTTATGGGTGGTTATTTTATTGGATAATTCATCTTGGATTTTATTGGATAACTCATGGTAATTCATACTGGACGGGAGATGAAGCTCTCCGCCGTGAGCTGTGTGGTTTCAGGACAGTGACTTGGTTTATCCTGATCGTCCCTTCTCAGGACCAGAGGGCATCAGGAGCCAGTCCGAGCCCAGGACTGGGCTGGCACCTGACCTCTGCCCTGTGTTTGGTAATGGATTTGACTTCTGCAGTCACTGCTGCAGCGTCTCTGGTCAGCTTGAATTTGGGAACCTCTGGTGTGGTGGACTGACGGCTGGTAGGCAGCTTGTAACACCAGCTGAACTGCGTCAGCACGGTACTGGGAGTGGAGAGCCCACCAAAGGGTTGTTGCCAGTAACATAGAAAAAGAACTGGAGAGGAAGAGGTGGTGCTGTTGGTTTTCCCAGAGAAGGTTGTCACACTGGCTTCCTGATATGAACTTTGGTATCATCATTGGAGGAGCTCAGGGCCTCTTTGTCACTGAGGATGGCTGGGGTACTTCTGGGGGAGCTCTGGTCCTTACTTGGAGCATCACTTCCTGGATCAGTGCAGAACCCTCAGCCTGCTGGCACAGCTCCTTCACCCTGCAGGTGCAGAGTTTCTAGCTTCTACCACTGACCTTTGGGCCTTCCCAGCACAGATCCTTGGTACAGACTTGCACAAGACATTGTCATGGGCTCTGGGCTTCTGGTTGGACTTGTGGACATTGTCATGGGCTCTAGGTCTTTACCTGGACTTGTACAGGACCTTGCCATGGAATCCAGGCCCTGCACTGGATCTTTGGGTCTCAAGTGTTTGGAGAGATCTCCCTCACTCCTTTGTATTTGACTCTTTGGGGGACTCCTATAAAATAACCCTACAAATTACACGTCCTGTGTGAAGTTGTTTCTCCTGCCACACCAACTGGAAAGTAGACGGGATCTTTCCATTCCTGATGAAGCCACAGCCTTACTCCATGTCGTCTGTAACTGCTGAGACACAGACGTGACTGACCAGCTGTTATGAGTTGAGCTCGGTTCCTCCCAAAATCATGGCATAGCCCTAAGCCCTGGGATCTGCAAATGGGGCCTTATTTGGAAATAAGATCTTTCCAAATGTAACCCAATCAAGGCCCTCAGGGTGGGCCAATGTGACTGGGTCCTTCGAAGAAGAAGGTGTCACATGAAGAGAGAGACATGGAAGGGACATCATGCAATCACAGAGGCCAGGACTGCAGCGATGGAGCCGCAAGCCAAGGGTGCCCAGCACCCAGAGCGAAGGGCTTCACCCAGAGTCTCAGAGGAGGCTCGGCCCTGCCTCCAAAATCTCAATAAAATGCAATTCTGCTGCCATCAGCCCTGGGAAGCGAATGTGCCAGCCATGTTCCTGGGCTGTTTACTTTATCTCTGAATTCTCAGCTTATTCTTTATGTTGGAAAGCACTAAAGATCTCCAGAATCTCACAGATGTTTCTATATAAGCGGAAGGAATCCAGTGTTACCCTGTTCCTCCCTCCCTCGTCCCTGGGAGGATGTCTCAGGAGTTTCCTGATGAAATCTTTTATTTGAGGCAACTCTGAGGCCAGAATCTGTCTGAGCAGGGACAGGCAGGGGGGCTGGCAGCTCCAGTGTCACCAGCAGGACAGAAACAGACCTGACGCAGAGGCGACAGCTCTTGGGGGAGCACAGCCGAGTAGGGTGGCTGCTGTCGAGCTTGGGGCCGAGTGAGGATGGGGGAACCTTGCAGCCCCAGAATCTTCGGAGCTGGGACAGGAGCAGGGGGCAGCCACTCTGTTCCCTGAGGAAACCTCACCTTTGGCACTTCCCGCTGCCGGGTTTCCCAGAGCCTCTGCCTCCATGTCCATCAGCCTCGGCAGGGGTTGTCTGAGAATAGGGTACATGTGCAACATATTTGCGTCAGGGGCCTGCACACAGACGGCGCCCGTGAGCATTCCACGCCTTTGTTACTGACACAAGGGACCCACTTAAGCTGGACCTTAGAAAGGCAGCAGGGACCCTAGAGCAGAGTCTCCCACAGGTATCTTCTGACTTACATGGTGTGTACCGCTGTTGGGCTGAACAGTCAGAGCTCCATACGTGCTAGAAAAGCACCTGCCACTGAGCTACATCCCTGTCCCAAAAAGCCAAAGCTGCCTAGACCTTGGCGCCGGCAAGTTTACTAAAAATCTGCTAACTGTGAGCTGAGCTTGCCCACGTGTGTGGTGCCCGTACCCAAGGAAACTCAGGACAGTACCCCAAGCTGCGGGTCTCTCTGAATATCACTGTCCTTTTACTGGTTTATTCACACCATGACTTCACCCTGATGTATGGCAGACCTCAGCCTGGCCCTACAAAGAAGCAAAAAATGAATCGGGCTAAAGCTCAGAGGTACAACACGCACAAGGCCCTGGGTTTGGGCTCCAGCAGTGCAAAATTAGACAGACAGACACAGACACTGAGACTTGGGGCTGGAATTCAGTACCACCAAAAATAAATATATACATAAAATAAAATTTTTAAATCCCGGCCTCAAAGACCTGCTGAGATCAGAATAAATAAATCCATCTACCCAGTCGTTATCCACCTGTCCATCCACCCAGCTGTCCACGCAGGCTACTCTGAGGCATCTACTATCTTCCGTCTCATGCAGAAGACAGATGTTGCCCTAACTCAAGCGGAATGATTTTAGGGGTGTTAGGAAAATACTCAAGATCTCCTTCCCCTAAAACCTACTTGACCTACTTGATTAGTGCTTGAAATTTCACTAGTGAATTATCATTTAGATTTTAAAATATTCCTTGGATGTGTGAAGTGTGACACCTTTATGGGTCATTGGTGCCCCAGAGCTAAGGAAAGAGGAGAGGGCAGGCTTTGGACAGGGGTTCTGGGGAAGAAGGGCTGGACACCCCAAGAGGAACCTCCCTGCCCCCTCATACTCCCTGGCATGGGCTGACCCAGTGTGTGCCTGGGCCCCAGGATCTTCAAGGTGTCACCTGCCTGCCGAGCGCTCTGAACTGCTGTTCAACAACTGTTGGAAGAACGAGGGACAGATCAACACGTTTTACTTAGACCAAAGCACGTGATGTCCCGGTGACTTTGTCCTTGAACCCAGGAAAGGGTTGTCTGGTCCATCCACAAGCCTCAGCACCTTTCCTGCTTCAGCCCGGACCGGGACTGACTTCTCCAAAGAAAGTCACGACAACGAAGCTTCAGTGGTGCTTCTACCAAACACAGCCCTACGCCGCGTCGTTCACTGTGACATGGAACGCTCCCCAGGACTGTTGTAATATTTTAAACAGTTTTGACTTGGTATTTTCTCTCTGCAGGATTTACCAAGAACACAGAGTGCCAAGAATTCAATTGTAAAATAAATGAATCATCTGTGGTCAAATCATCCCACAGGCAAAATTATTCTTTTAAAACTCTCCAAAAGAATCCAGCACCAAATTGTAGATAACATGGTTACTATGTGTGCTACGGTCTTTAGCGTACGCCGATTATTCCTAAGATACTGTTTAGCTAAAACAGGCCGTTAGCTTCAGTCAGCTCGTGCCTTTAACAACTGCACCTCAGTCAGGTAAGCTCTTTGGGGCAGTGGAGGGCCTGAGCAGGTAGGAGTCTGTGATGGTTTTGTGATGTGATTTCTTCACATGAACAAAGAAATAATATATGGTGGGGAACTCTAAACAGGAGAGGATCTGTGGCCCAGAATGACCTTGAGCTATCGATGTTTTCATCTATGACTGTCAGGTAAGACAGTGGCATGGTGGCACTCCCCTGTAATTCCAGCACGCAGGAAGTTGAGGCAGGAGGATCACTGTGAGTTCAGGGCCAGCCTTGAGACTCCATCCCCCCGCCAAAAAAGACAAGAAGAACCCCTTCTCCAAGCGTGACATCGAGCCCAACTCCCCCACCCTCCTGGCTCAAAGGCGAGATCTGAAAAAGCTACCTTCTCCCCTTGGCACCAGCTTCCGGTTTGAGTAGGTCTCTCCTCTCCACTCATGGTAGGCCGTGTACCTCGCCACACTGTTCCTCAGCTCTACCACCCACAGCGCCAGCTTCCACCTACTGACATCCCCAAACCACACCATCACAGTTTTAGCAAACAAAAAAATTTAAAAAACCAAGCTGCCCCTTGATGAGTTTACCCCCACGTATCCAGGGCCCGCAGCAGCCCACAGGTTAACAACGAGTTGTTCAATCTGGGAAAAGTCCTAAGCATCATAGGGACAACATCTGGGTGAAGGGCTCGGAGATGGCACCATCGCCGCGACCAGGTGGTCGGGGCGCCGGAGGGGATTCAGCAGAAGGTGTAAGTAGGTGACAGTGACAGGTGGCTCTCCAGGAAGCCACGGCAAAGGTGTGGTGAGCGCGTGTTCCCAGAGCCAGGAGCTTGGGCAGGAGCTGAACTGGGTTGTGGGCCGCTTTCAAGGCTTTCCCTGCCAGCCACAGGGGGTGCAAGGCGCTGACCCTGTGCAGGTATCTCAAGTGCTGTCATTCCGCAATGTGACAGTGGCCCTTCTGGTTGGTCTGGAATGTCTGGCCCGGCCGAGGGAGTAGTCAACCTTCTAACCAAAGGGCGAAGCTGCCCACATGAGTCACACTCAAGGATAGCTGTCCAGACAGCTTTCTCCCCAGTCACCTGGAGGACCTGGCCACAGCATCCCCGCTGCGTCTGCATCGTTTCCCGACAGTGGGTTCCCAGCCGGGTTCTGGAGCAGCAAGGCAAATGCATCTCAAGGTGGCTTGCGTGTGAGTCTGGGGTGAAGCTGTGAATGGGGGTGCAGCCAGAAGGCCCTGCCAGACAGGGAAGCGAGTGGGTGAAGCTGGAAGCCAGGCCAACAGCGGGGGTAGGAGTGGAGCTTCTCGGAGGAAGCGCTCGCTAGGTCCCAGCAGGATGGGCAGCTTGGGGCTGGGCACCAGCTCCAGTAAGCCAGGCAGCTCAGAGATCCAGGGTGCAGCCAGAACTCTTTTGGTGCTTGCTGAGCCTGGGCCCTTGGCTGTGGAGGTCAGGCAGTCCCGTGTCTGCGTGGGAGCTGTGGCTCCGGCCCATCCTTCTCTGTTCTGATGACTCCTTTCTCCAGCCCAGGGCCAGGCAGTGTTCAGAGTTTCCAGACTTGCAAGCCTCCTCCCTGTTCTCCGCTGGACCCCCACCTACCCTGGAGAGGGGCGGGCGGGAAGCTCGGGGATCCCTTACCGAGGGTAGAAAGTGGTGCAAAGAGGGGAAATTGTGTGAGGTCTGATCCTCAGGTTAATCCTCCAGCTACCTGGGCCTGGATGGCTGCCGGCTGCCTCTGCACGTGCGCGGAGTGGAAAGGGAGCAGGGATTAGTGCCCCAGAGGGTCCCCAAACCTTGGAGCCTCTTGGCACACTGGCTCTGGGTGTGTATTCCAATAACAGGGGTTTGATGCCCACGGTTTTCAAACCCAAAATCCTGTAAAGCACTGGACTGAGTTCTGAAGTCCGGAAACCAGGGCACTGGCCCAGCCTCAGGGCCAAAGCACCACAACCCCCAGCGCCAAGCGCCTTCATTCTGCCCAGGGCATTTGTTCTTACTTCAGGGACCTGAGTCACTGGTGAGGACAGTAACCCTGTGTGTGCCCGCGTCCTCATCTGGTGGCTTTCAGGGTCTGCGCAATCCCAATCCATAGTTTAGCACCTCCTACTCCGCTCTGGGAAGGGGCTCACATTCTGTGAGCCACACAGGAGGGCAACTGCCCTGCTCAGCAGGCTGCGCTGGGCACCAGCCTCAGTCCTGATCCACCCAGCTCATAACCGTGCCCATTGGTACAACAGGCTCTCACACACACAAACACACGCCGGCCTTTACACTCAAGTGCATCTCCAGCCCTTTTCTTTTCTTCTTTCTTTCTTTTTTTTTTTTTTTTTTTAAATTTTGAGACAGGGTCTCACTCTAGCTGGCTGTATCAGAGTTTACTAGAGAGACAGATAGATATAACACAAGGTGTACAAACGTATAAGGAGTTGCAAGATCGGCTCGCAATCATCAGCCACAGGATCGATGAGGAAGCGAGTAGAGGATGTCTGCACACTGAGAAGAGTTCAATCCATGGTCTGGAGCTCACTGCAGGGTTCCGTGATAGTGGGTATCTGGAGGCCGATAGGTCTGCACCAGAAGCTGAAGAGTCTGCACCGGAAGCCAGGTGATGATGTTCAAGCTGAAGGCAGAGACTGGAGCTCCTTCTCTGAAGAGCAGAAGCAATCTGTCCTTCATCATTTCCCCTTTATACTAGCCCTGCAAGGAGCTGCCCTAGGGTGGGTCTTCCACACCCTAGGGTACAGAATTGCTGAGCCAATTTAGTTCAGCTTCTCTAAACTAAACTGCTCAAACTGACACAATCAATCAACCATTACAGTTGCCCAGGCTGGGCTGGTGCTTATGATTCTCCTGTCTCAGCCTCCCAGAGTGCTGGGGTCACAGGCACCCAACACCATGCCTAGCAGAGTGGATGTTTCTTAGGGCATTCATGGAGAAATCTACACCAAGGAAGAAACACAGATTCTTTCTCATTGAAATGACTAATAAATATTTCCTGCTCTCCCCATTCATTTTTATCTAAGCTAAAGATCAGTAATTGAATGTGTCCACTTTGTTTTTTTAAAGTCATCTTGGAGATGCTGCTGTAGCTTAGTCTGACACACATAAGGCGCCAGGGTTAATCGCCTGTTCCACAACAGAAAAACAAAAACATTTTCTAGCTTATATCGGCTAAAGATCTTAGCTGGCTAGGGTGGTGCATGCCTGTACTGCCAGCCTCAGGAGGCTGAGGCAGGAGAATCTCCATGGGTTTGAGGTCACTCAGCATTACATAATGAGTTCAAGGCCAACCTGAACTACATAGCGAGACTTTGTCTCAAAAAAAGAAGTCTGTTTTCTCACCCTGCTCCAGTGTCTTCTGAAGATGCAGCCTTCAGCCAGCCAGCCCAGGAGTGATTCTTGGTGCCTTTCAACTCAGACTTTCCTCTTCCTGTCGATCTGTGGGCCCGTTCCTCAAGCCTCAAGTCTGCACAGAGTTTGTGGGGTGGGTCGATGCCAGGCCCCTGACTCCTCCAGGGCAGCCAACAGCAACACCACACAGGAAATTTTCCACTGCAGGCCACTCATTCTCGGGGGAGCCAAGCAGGGCTGGGGCCCAGCAGGCCTCCATATCTGTCCCCGTTGGATGACGCTGTAGAAGGAAGGAAGAGAGAAGACAAGACCCCCACTTATCTCACTGCTCAAGGCCTGAGGCCCCTTGAAGAGAGCGCCCTTTGGGGTGCAGAGCTGGCCTCCCTCGCACCCCGCACCTCTTGTCCACAGGGAGAAATGAAAGCCACACACCAGCTCTGTTTGCCCTGGCGGCCACTCCTTGGCACCAGAGAGCAGCAAGGGCTTTGTTCCTTGGTGGCTCCTCACAGAAGCCTCTGGCCACACTTAAAGGAAGCAAAAATAAACTCACGAAACCATGTTCTCTGCTCTACAGAACACTGCAGGAGTGTCTCCTGTTCCTCTCGACATCCTAACTCTACACCCTGATCCATTAAGAGAGGAAAATCCCAGGGTCTGGTCCACACAGGTGGCCACTGCCAGCAGGCCCAGCTTCAGGGTGCGCCCCCTCGGTCACCAGGAGCCCGCACCAAAGTGCCCTGCCCTCTGCACTGGGCTGTGGGCCGAGGCCGGCACCTGAATTTCTTCATAATTCCGAGCATGGCCCTGCGTTTCCATTTGCACTGTGTCCTTCTGGTTCTGGAAGCTGCTCAGAGAGGGGACCCCTGGCACTTGGTAGCCACAGACACACCCACTTCCCCAGCATGGGTGTGGCTGAGGCCTAAGCTAGAAACCCAAGTGCCAGCTGCCCACTGGGCCTTTGCCGTCCGCAGGCTCACACCTGAGCCGGGGACCCTGAACTTAAGGGCACCCACACTGCACATAACGCAGGATCACCATCACCAGCTCCCCCACCCCAGGGATCTCCCCACACTGCTCTCCTTACTGGATCTTAGATCTCTAACACTCTTATCTTTTGAGACAGGGTCCCTCTAAGTCATCAGATTGCTCGGCTGGGCTTGAACTTGCTGTCTCCCTGTCTCAGCCTCCCAGGGTACCAGAGCTGCAATTGGTGGCAGTACACCCAGCTGAGACAAGGTGCTCTTTCACTGTTCTGGAGATAAGAGACCTACAGGGCAGGACAAACACTTATGCCAAGTTAGCATCAAGGTTTTCTCTAACAGACCTGCATGCCCACCTCTGGGCCGTCCCTCTTTTAGCCCTGTTTCTCTTCTGCTGGCACAAGGATCCAACAACAGGGGGGCAAAGTCCCCGAGCAACTCATGGGGGACTCCTAATTACCCTCTCCTCCCTCCCCCACAGCCTTCTCTTCCCCTTCCTCCCCCACACCCCCCCCCCAGGGCCCACTCCGCTCCCATCTTGGCTCTGAGGCCCTGAGGGAATTCCCTGGGCTCTTTCTCCACTGCCCCTGCATCCCTAGGCCCTCTGGGACCCCCTCTGTCACTCCAGCCAAACTGTACCTAGCTTCCTTCAAGCGGTGTCCAGCTTCCTTCCAAGTCACTGCTTCCGATGATCGCCTCTCTGTGGGCTCAGATTACCTGATCATCGATTCTCCGGCTGGACACAGTGGACCTCTGTCCCCAGCATGGAACTCTGTCCTCACCCCGCCCTGCCCTGGGAGACACCTCTGCTCAGACCACCTCCTCCCCACCATCTGCTGGAATCCGCCTGCAGGCGCCTGCTCCTTCCAGGCCACACTGGCTCTCTTGGGGCCTCATCCAACCTCACAGCCTTCAATCCCCCCCACTTGCCAATGAGTCCCACACAGACTTCTGCAGTTCTGTTGCCTCCTCGAACCCTGCGCATAAGCACCTAAGCATAGTCTCCCCGACCTCTGCAGTCACAGGCATCTCAGACGCAACACAGCCAAAGCAAAAGGCCTCTCTCCTGCCCTCTCCCCCGTATCGCTCAGGGCTTTCCAGAACCAATGCGCTGTGCAAGCGGAAAGAGGAAGAGCTTTGCCTTAAGGCACTGGCTCGTGTGATTACAGAGAAGAACAAGCCCAAAATCTCCAGGATGGACAGCAACCCCAAGGCCTAGGAGAGCATTTTGCAGCTCTGGACTGCTATAGTCAGGAGGGACAGAAGGGGAGGAACTCACATGTTTGCAACATTCAAGAAATCTTGTATGTCACCCCCCCCCCCGAAAATGCCTGGTAAAACCCTCCCTGTCCCCCCAATATGATAGCATTTGGAGCAGTAATCTTTGGGAGGTAATTAGGGTTGGACCAGCTCAGGGAAATGGGTCCTGTGATGGGATTAGTGACCTTATAAGATGAAAGATCTCTTTCTCTCTGTCCCTCTCTGTCTCTGTCTCTTTTTCTCTCCCTCTCTCTCTGCCTTTCTCTCTCTCTGTGTCTACAAAAAAGAGGTCATTGAAAACTAAGGGTCTTTACCTTGGACTTTCCAGACTGTGACAAAATCAATTTATGTCATCAAGCCACCATATCTGGCGTACTTCATTATAGCTGCCCAAGCTAAGACACCAGTCTTTTTGTTCCATGCAGGCCTTCAACTGACTGGCTGAGAGCCCTGTCACCAACCGCCATGTGCTTCACTCAAAGTCTGCTGACCACTAACTGTATTTCAGACACCAGCACAAAGACACAAGGAACAATGCTTGACCAAATATCTGGGCACCTCATAGCCCAGGTAAACCCACACGTGCAATTAAGCGTGGCAGCCTCAGACCAGGTCTTTCCATCTCCTGGTGTCTTCACCATCTCAAGACATGGCAGTTTCTTTTTTTTTTTTTGTCTTTTTCATTTTTATCGGTACCAGGGATCGAACTCATGACTGCCTGCTTACAAAGCAGGCGCTCATGCCGCTGAGCTAAATCCCCAGCCCCAACATGGCAGTTTCTTTCTTCAAGCCAGGACAGTGAATGTGGCCACCTTTCCCTCCCCACAGCTAGCCCTTCAAATGTATCTGGAGATCACACTAGTCTGCACCCGACTTTGTCCCTGAGACCCTAACCGAGTCTTCCAGCGTCCCCGGAGTGGTCGCGTGGCCCCGTTTGGTCTCTAAATCAAGTGCAGGTGCACTTGGACAAGTTACTTAACCTCTCTCTAAGTCTCCATTTTTTCTGTCCTGAATGCAGACAATATGCTTTATTATAGATTTAAGAATGAAATAAATGCCAGTATCATGAGCACTTGGTAAATTTGGCTAAGGTGGCTTCTACTTTTACTAATACTAAGAGTGCTTGAGCCCCCTGGGCTTAGAATCTGAGTTTATAGAAAATGAGGTGATAAGATTATATTGTGTGTCCAAAAGATGAGAAGTATAAAACAAAAGAGGCCTTTATTCTGAGAACGCGGAGAGAGAAAACAAAAAGACTCCCCCCCACCACCACCACCACCACTGGAGTTTGGCTTTCTCTCTGGTGGACACGTGGCGTGGGGGCATATAAGTAGCCTAGGTTTGGGGTGGAACCTAAGGGGCATTAGGGATGCACAGGTAGCCCATTGGTCTCTTTTGGCGCCATAGGTAAATTCCTAGGGGTGGGGAAGATGGAGCTCCTTGGTTCCCGCTACAGTGTCCTGTCTGGGCCAAAACTCTTTCATGAGGTGCAACCATCATTTAAAGTACTTTATTTAGCATTAGTAAATCTTAGACTTACGTTTCATTTGACACAATATTTAAACCACGGCAAAATATATTCCAGGTCAGTGCTCAAATAAATAATTTTCAGAGGCTCACAGATTTCACAGAACAGCTATGTATTCATGGAGGGTTCAGGCTCAGCTGTGACAATGTCCTAGGCTATTTTGTTCTGTATTTTGCTGTGAGCCCTAACTAAAGGGAGGCCCTGCTGAGTGCTGTTGGATTTCCAAAGTAAAGCTTGGGCAGATTTCTGAGTCACCTTATCCAAACCTGGCCTGTACCCCAAGTTTGGGTTTTTATAGTCTATGAAACCAACACATGTTGATTTAAGAAAACCAGACATGGAGCCGAAAAGGTCAGCCTCCAATGCAAGTGAAGCCCAGCCAACTGCACAAACTGGACAGCTAAGCCCCCAAACCCTTTGTAGGTTAAGTGAATTCAGATACCTGAGACTGCAATCGGAGAAGCTGAGTCACTTGATCAGGGGGTGAGCCACTTACTGGAAGCAATGTTTGCTCGTGAATGTCGAGGGAAGGTCTTCCAGATTCTTCTCCTTGAGCACCAAGATAGCCCCTGCCTTTGTTTTGTTTTTTGTTGCGTTTAGCTTTTTTCAGCGGCAGATGGGAAGCTGCCAGATCATGCTCTATGCCTATTCTAGGAGACTCACTTGCTATATTAGGACTTGAGCGGCTTGTCTATATCTTCCCATGATGCCTTGCAGCTAGCCTGCTGTAGGAATTGGCTAAGACTGCTGTAACAAAGGACCACAATCTGGTTTAACAATGCAGACTTATTCTCTTAGGACTCTGGGGACTAGAAATCTAAAGTCAAGGTGTCAGCAGGTTCGGCCCCTGAGGGCTGAGCAGGAGGATCTGTCCAGAGCTTTCCCAGGCTCCAGAAGATTGCCGGCACTGTTGGTGTTCCTTGGTTTATAGATGGATCACTGTGATCTTTGCCTCTGTCCTCACATGACCTCCCTCTTTCTCTGTCTTCACGCGTCATCTTCTTATAAACACACCAGTTTTATTAGTTTGGGGGTCCAGCCTATTCCAGCATGACCTCATCATAATTAACCATATTGGCAACGGCTCTATTTCCAAAACAAGTCCCGCCCTGAGGTAGGAATGATATAGGGGAATGAAACGCCCAACCTACTATGTCCACGAGTTTGTGGTCTCTAAAACCAAAGAATGAATTTTACGAACAACAACGGAGGTGAAGAGCAAAATACATTTATTGAGCAAAAGAAAGCTTCTGTCTGAAGAGAAGACAATAGGAGGTTCCCAGTGGGTTACCCAAGACTGTCTTTTCCAGGGACTTTTACAGAGTAAAACCATGGGTTGGGGGGGGGGCCTAGGAACTCACAAGGCAGATGGGCATAAGGTGGGACATAACTATAGTTAGCCTATAATAAGATTAATAGTTCAGGTAAAATTGATTACATTAGGGAAAAATGGGAATGCAAGTCATGTAGGAAGCAGGCATTCTTGGAGCTGTGACCTTTCCCCTAAGGGGATGGGACAGTGACTCCTGGGTGACAGAGAACTAATTAGAATATCAGTCCTTAGAATGTAGATGCGTTTGGTCCTTTGTCTTAAGGCCTGTCCCAAAGCAGGAGGTGTCTGTCTCACTGCCTATAATATTTCTAACTTGGCTGTTTGTAACAGCGAGGGTCAGGACCTCGGTATTTCTCTTTAGGGGGATACATTCAACCCATAGCATCCTTTACATAGGGCATTCCTGCAAAGCACTTTAACTGTTAGTCGCCTATGAATTATTTAGGACTTCTAGAAAATAGCTTTATGTCCACCGGTGAAGGGTTTTTTTGTTCTGTTTTTTGTTTTTAAATCTCTAGGTCTTTTCTTCTTTCACAGTGGGTTTTAAGTCATCTTTAAAAAACTGAAAAGCACCAAAAAATGAAAAACAACATAGCAAATCAACATGACCGTCTTTCAGAGGAAACAGCTCTGAAAGTGCATGATGTGTTTTAGTAAATGAAATTCAGTCATTTCATCTTAAAATGTCGGTCCATTGCATTTTTAAAGAATTCTAATGAAAACTTGGTGACTTGAGATCAGAGATAATGCCTCCAGGAAAGGGTTAAGAGTGTTTGTGGTAATGGTGACCTTGTAGTTTTAGGTAAATCAATCCCCTTCCATCTTACTGGAAGGGGAAATGGAGCTGGAAATGTCCTTTTACAGGTCTTTAACCATGCGGAGATTGCACTTGTATTAACATACTCTTTTTTCCAACCCCAGTCTGTAGTATGAAAAATAGATTTTTCTTTATTCATCTCAAAGAAGAAACGGGTGGAATCAATCTAAGAATCTGTCATTTCTCTAGGATTTCAGGGAAGGTATTTCATGGTAGCTTTCCCAAATAACAATATCCTGTATCATCTATCATGATCCAGTAAACTCTAGTTGCGTAATTATCCCAACTCTGCTTCTCACGGAAAAGCTATGTGAAAATGCTCTGTGCACTGCATAGAAAGAACTCATAAATTTAAAATACAGATGCCTGCCAGTCCCAAAAGGAGTCCAAGGAAAGTTACCAAAAGTTTGCAATAGTCACGAAGGAAACTTCATTTTTAGAGCCAAAAACCCCACACAACTGTCCATTTTAAGTGAATATGATTTAAAATAGTTTTTGAATGTATGACTTGACCACTGTCTCCTTATTCACCTATATTTGTGTAAGAAGAGATGCTGAAATGGAATCTTCAGAGTATACATAATCTTCTAGAAAAAGTTCACTCAGCTTGTCATTGGGAAATGGTACACAAAGTTTCTTCTTCATGCCCAGCATAAAAGGCATTTTGCTTTGTGTTGTTGGCTAGTTTTGTTCATTGATCTCATGTGGGTAAGGCGAGACCTCCCTTGAGTTTATGAAGCCCCTGTGAAATATCTAAACACTAACAAAGGGGTAACAAAGAGGGCTACAGCTGTTCACCAGAAGTTTTCTTAAATTGTCGAATGTCAAAGTCAAGCAACTCTGCATTTTCAAGGGCCAAGAGTGGTTATTTGCATGTAGCTCTTAGCTTCTCTCCAGCACAATTACAGAGGGAAATCCAGTTTAAAGCCATTGCTATCCATGGATCCGCCATCAGGTCAGGACATTTGGGGGCCAGCAGTAGGTGGACAGCTCCTGCCCCGTCCCCCCTCCCTATCCTCCCCAGCTACCTGGCAGCCCAGATCAGAGAGGAGCCACGGTGCCCAAATCGCCCAGCTCTTCACCAGATAACAGCACCGGCTGGAGCCAGGGGGCAGCATCCTGCGCATCCCGCGCTCCTCCTGGTGGGGCTGACACACCTTCACGGCACAGGTAGAAAACACCCAGGAAGCCTCGAGTGCTTGGACCTGGGATGCGGCACTCCGTCCATGTCCTGGTCACCGTCCCCGACAGCCACTCCTGTGGAAATGATACTTAATATGGAGACAGAGCTGCGGAATCGACGCAACCAGGGTCCAGGCAGGCTGGCTGCCAAACAAAATGAGAAAAGCCCCTGCCTGCTGTGTGTCCTGCATTTCCCCCATGCTGGCCTTTAAAACAAAATGTAGCTCACAGACTGCAGAGGAAGGAGACTGTGTAAAAGTCTATATGGAAAAAAACCCTCACCCCTTAGAGCCAGCACTCATAAAACCAGACCCGGTGTAAGGGAATTGGGGGGGGGGGGGGCTTTTCTCAGCTGCTCAGGTTTTCACGGGGCTTCCCAGCCCAGAGTTTTAGGGCTGAGCCTCCTTTATCCTGCGCATTTATCCTCTCAAAAATCAAATGATCTTTTTCAAAATCAATCCTTTCTCACTATTGCCACCAGGACATTTTAAGGAACTAAAGTCCAAGTGATTTTGCCAGAGTGATTTCCCTTTAAATTGCTGTTTAGAAAAAGAGGTGGGAGGTACCCTAGTCAGATAGTTGTTCTGGTTTTGTTTTGTTTTATTTTTGGGGATAAAGGCTTGCTGCATAATTCAAGCTGACCTTGAACTCATTTGGTAGTCCAAGGTGGCCTCAAACTCACAGCAATCCTCCTGCCTTAGCCTCCTGAGGGTTGGCATTACAGGCGTGCACCCCTACACCTAGCTCCAGTCAGAGGAGTATAAAAAGTGCCTCACAGGACTTTTCCTGAGAAAAACCACAGTGCTTATTTGCATATTACTAGCCAGGAGAAATCTTAGTCTCTAGGCTTCCCTCAGACACCTTCTTGCAGCCTGTCCTCCACACCAGACACTGTGAATGCGACACTCCAAGAAGTGCTCACTGCCCCAGGAAAGCTGCCCTGACTCCTGCTCCCACCCGCCCTGGAGCTGCCCACCACCCACCCAGGAGTGCGCTTTGGGAGGCTGTGCATCCAAAGGCAGGAGCAGCACAGCCCTCCACCCTGGGCGGCTCAGCTCCACTCCGCCAGTGCATCCTGTGCTTGGAAATCTGCTCATTTTGGACCCGAATTCCGCTAGCCAGGCCAGTTCAGCCCGCACCCGATCCTAGGAGTCCGGGCTCATCCAGGAGTTTTATGTGGTTTTTAGGGAGATGCCTTCAGCAGTCCAAGTGCTTTTTCCATGGAGTGGCCCGGAGCAGTGGCAGGCGGTTATTACCTGCTGCTCACGGGAGCAGGGAGGAGAAGAGTGTGGAGGTGAGCGCTCGTTAACACTCGCTGCTTAAATTAAAAAATCCTTAGGGTGCAAGTTTAAAAATAGCAGTCTAATGGCTTCTAAAATTGGATTTCTTTGCTCTCCATAAATACCGAGACTCGGTGAAGGCCCTCTACTTGTCTGACTTAACAGGGTCAAGCGGGCTCTGCTTTCCTGCTTGTTCTTCAGGATTGGTGCCCTTAATGATACTACCAGGCTGCAGGTGGCTTCCGGGTGGGGCAGGAAGGCGGCTCAGAGGTCTTCTGCCCCTGGGAGAGGAGGATGGCTCCAGTGTCTCAGGAAAGTCTCACCTTGCACGACCCAGGTGGTCACCCTAGCTGGCTAAGCCATGGTTCTGGGACATTTCGGAGAAATGAATCAACACCCCAGACGCTATCCCTGGGTCTCCCTTTCTTTGTCACTTTCTCATGGCTGACACAATACCCAGCACCCACAGTTTAAAGGAAGAGAGGTCTATTTTGGCTCACAGTTCTTGGAGGTTCAGTCCATAGCCTCTGGCTCCAAATCAGGACAGTGTGGTTGAAGGGCCTGAGCTGTTCCCCCCATGGCACCTGGAAAGCACAGACACAGGGAGAAGCCAGGGAAGGAGATGAGCCCTTTGAGATGGGAGGAAAGAAGCCAAGGGCTGTACCAGCTAGGTCAGGTGTACAACGTTCGGCCCCTGCACACCCCAGCTTCCTTGGTGCAAAGAGGGGGTGCTGGTGACAGTCACTGCAGCCTCAGGGGGTCGGGAGTAAGTGGGTAATGTTGTCACTGTTCTCACTGTGCTCGGGGTACAGCGTGGCTCCACCCACAGCAGTTCACCTTGCCCAGACCCAAGCAGCCACCTTGGCCTTGGTGGGTTCCAACTCCACCATGACAGTGACCACAGGATGTCCAGCCCCAGGCCCTGGCCCTGGGCAGAGGGGATATTTGCTAAGTGAAGGGAAGAAAAACATCATGCAGGGCCTGAGAAAAGCCAATGTCACCACAAAGTGCACAGGCAAATCCAGTGTGCCACCTGTGTAGAGAGAACCTGGAACTTGGAGCAACCAGCACCTGAAGTGACATGGGAAACCCTGCCTCTCTTTCCTTCTTCCTTTGATTCCTTCCTTTCTTCCTTCCAGTAGTTCCTGAACATCGGGGAGA